AGTATAATAATAATAATAATAATAATAATAAAATTTAAAACCGAACCTGAGTAAAATGACTTATCGAGAAATTATTAACGTTTATAAAGAATTTTACCAGGTAGTTTTTATTATAATCTGACTGTTTTGGTACGTATTTTTAGTTTATTACACTTTAATGGCGATTAAAAATAATTATTATATAATTAACTGGTTGGATTATTGCTGTTTAAGCATTATACCAGTTTCCGTTACTAATTTTAACGCAAAATGAACCGGTTCTGATCAGAGATTTTATGTACCGACATAAACTATAGTCAGAATTATGCAGAGAGGAATTTATAAATTTGTTCAAAAATTACTCGATATTCTTTGCACAGACTTCAAAATATTCCGTATAACTTTTGCATGCAGTTATTCACTACTTTTCCAGATTTATCTAGCCAGTGTGCATTTAATTTTTGTATTTTACAAAGATATTTTCCCTGGCTGCTGCAAAATTAAACGTTAAAAATGGGAAAATGAAAGTTTTTTATTATTATTATTTATACCGTGGGTTGTCGGAATTTACTTTTACTTTCGAATTGGCTTGGAAATAATTGCTTGACCCGTCGCCATTTATAATATATGTACATAAGGATATATACGTGGAAAGATTTTCGGAAAAAGTGGATTTGCTTGAAAAGTCATGGATAAAATGGGAAGGAGGCTGAGTTTGGAAAAGAGGGTGGGGGTACGTTGGAAACCCGTGGGAATCCACTTTCTAGCTTCTCGGCTTGGTTGCACGCCGTAGCGTGCACTTCCTTTTTTAAAGCATCTCACACCCATTCGAATGACAAATTTTTCGTTTCGTCCTTTCACCGACGACGTCCGACGTCAATAAGAGCATTCGTCTCGAGATCCGCATTTACTGTCTCCGACAATTATTATTATCATTATTATTCGCTGCCCTTCTTTCATCGTGGCTAAGGGTGGATCTCTCCCGTATTGTTAATCGTTTCGACTCCTACTCTTGTCTTTCTAGTTAAATCGTCTCGTGCGGGGATGTGTAGGGCCGGCACGTGACGCCGGGCGTAAATTGATTTCGTCACTTCGTAAATAACGTCTCATTGAGAAATTGTAATTAAATAAGTTACTTTCGATTTTTACATGTTTCATCATTAGGCTTTTTCCGCTCTTATCTTTTCTAGATATCTAAATCGAATGTTTAGGATTTTTCGTGAACAAAAAATATTACTTTTTTCGTTGATATCTAACGAATAATTCTGTTAAACTTTTATGGGAATTTGGGTGTGTTTCTCGAAACACCTCTCCCTCTTACTCCTAATTAAATGTAATATAATTACAGCCGGCGCCTAACGTTTGTTTATACATATTAAGCCCAATTTATTGATATATTTGCAATAAAATACATTCTTAAAACCACAAATTCAGTTTAGGAATTTCGGTTCACCTGTTCGCAGCAGTGGCGAACTTTTTGCGTTTCCTGAGATAATATCTAAGATGTACAAACAAAATGAAAGAAAGAAAAGAAAAAAAAATGGAGTAGAGAACGGAGTCGATGCAGATAAAAATCAATACTGGACGTACTTGAAAAATAATGTCGTTAGATTTAATTAACTCGAGCATGCAACAAGCTATCGACATGGCTAAAATCTATACCGTATCCTATTTATACAACGTAATGACGTTTAAAAATTCGGATTGTAAACTAGTTAGAAGCGAGAAAAATATTAAAACGGCGATTTAAAATTCTTCTAAAGTACTCGGACCAAGTAATTAATGAGTAGTTCTTTTTTTGCTACGGCATTTCGATTAATATTTCAAGTTAACGCATCCGTAACACTTTATTTTATAACTCCTGATATTTTTCTGACAGTCATTTTTCAGAAGAGTAATGATGCCGTTAAATCCGAGTAAGCGTTAGTACTATATATAACAAGCGAACCTGTTTCTTTCACCCCTTTTTTTCAAATTAATTAAGGAGTTTTGTAGAGAATATCAATTATTGTTTTCTGATTCACCTAATTCCGAAATAATTCCGTACGGGTAGAGATAATCGGTAGAATATTAAGCAATGTTTTTCCGATTTATTTTGTAATAGGCGAATGTACGGGTGGAACGGATAGTGTTTTTTCTCGTCTATTGAATTCCCGATATGCTGGTAATACAATAAACCTGCTTTTAGTCTCGTCTGCAAACATATAATAAACTTATCTTCCACTTTTATGGTCTTTTTTTTTATATAATTCGAAATGTTGATGTCTTCTGTGTTTGATGTAGAATGTGCGGCGATAAAAAAAATGAAGCAAAAAAAAAAAAACAAATGTGTATGTAAATCTTGCAGTTTTGGATAGAAGAAAAGCGACATTTAAAACAAACATCGCTCCTAAAAGTGGAGGAATATTGGTTCTCAGCGGTTCCATTAGTTAGAATTCTTCTAGATTTAAATATACTTTAAGATCGTAAGATTTAACAAGGATTATAAGAAGCGAAATGGCTAAACTAACACGAAATTAATATATTTTTTTCTATTCCAAACCCGTTTAAGACGAACCGATGATGATTGTTTACTTCATCCATGACTTCTCGATTAGATAATTGCAATGTATTTTAGATATAAAATTTTAAAATAATATAAAATCACAATATTAAGCATCACCGTCCGATCGTGATATCTAATGGAGATTTTAATATTGGGTGCCACGAAATTTAAAATTTGGTGACGACATTCTTTCGTGCCTGGCCCACAGAATTGTCTTTTACGGCTCGTGTGGCATTCGGAAAAAGGTTCGAGATCCGTAATTTAAGTTTGGATTATAAAAATCTAACGAATAATCCAGAAATGCTCAGCAGTTCGGAGTAAAATAATTTCAAAAACAGAAAGATGCAGAATTCTATTAGATATATTTTCGTGGAATATATATATATATACTGTACAGTCGACCCCCCCTATAACACTGTTGATAATTCCGTTTTATATGAATTCCATGTTGTACGAGTCACTTAGATTTTACAATTCAGGAAATTCTCTTTCGGATAAAAGATCTTATCGTTACGTGTGTGACCCGTGCCCGTAAAGAAAAACAGGAATGGAATTTGAATATATATGTATATACTGTATATAAAAATCGAGCATTCGGTATATCATCCCTATTGCAGGAAGTAATTTGTAAGTAGTAGCAATCACGAAACAAAACTATTATCGCCAATGCATGGTTCCGCTACAGTTGATAGATGGATCTGGCATTATGCACACACAAATGCATTAGTATGCACCGGACCANTATATATATAAGTTTATCATAAATTCTGCGACGTCATCTTTTTGTTGGCATCGTTTCTACCGTGACCTTTAATACAAGATTTCTTTTTTTAAGATAGAATTTTCCTCTTGACCAATTTTTCCTCCTCTTTCGGACGATTGCAAATTAATTTAACTTTTAATTTTTTGTTTCTTTTTTTTTTTACTTTTCTCTGTAAGAAAATTCGAATATTTTTACAGCATAAACGTAACGAAGTAAACGTAAGTCCTATATATAGTTAGTGATATGTTTGTAGATAATGAAAGGTGGAGGAAATACACCCCTCACTCATTAGCATTTACTTTTTGTTTTTCCCCCCTCCTTATCCGCTAATTTAGACGAAAAAATTGAAATAGTTTCCGAAACTAGTTTCAAATTCGATCGTTTAGATATGGCGAGTTGTGTATAACCGCTTTTAAATGACTGGATAAATTTTCATCCAGGAGGAAAAAAAATCGCTGTAATCGATCTTCGTGAAAGAATTTCTTTAAAAGTTTGCGTGTACTGTTAGATTCGGACCCGGCCGGAATAATTATAATTTCCCTCAAGGGTAAATTGAGAAAAAATAAAGCGAACTGGTTAAAAAAAAAAACCAACGATATCAGATACCCAGCTAAGAAGCTATTTACAGCGGATTGAATTTCGACCTTCGGATATTCAGCAGGATGCAAAGAACACAAGTTTAGTTTCACTTTTGTTTTTTCGTTTCCTCTTCAAACTTGTTGATAAACTTTCGATTTGGATAAACAAACGGGTTTGCAGTATCGTACCGACGACGATAAGAGCTGACGAACTTTAATCGATGGATAGATGTGACCCGTGCGTGCGATTCTTCCTCGTTCGGCGGCACGAAATCTAAAGCCTTTGCACGACGGAATTAAGTGGAAATCGTATTTATACCCCGTGAAAATGATTAGATTTTGACACGATCGGATACACCTGTTTCGATAAAGTAGATCGCGTCGTGGACCACTGACCCGACGTCCTTATCGAGGACACGAAATCAAGGTTGTCAAAACGTCGTTAGTATTCTCTCTCCATCGATCTACTTGTCGCCGGTTCGCTTTCGAAAATACCCGCCACCGTTTTCTATTGTTAAACCAAATACAATTGTTTTATTTTCGTATATTTAGGACGCTCTGCCAAGGACGGATTCGTTCCCCTGCCGTTATCGAACGTTTCTAATCCGAGAACGATTAATAATAATAAAGGATTAAGACGGGTTACCGTATCACAATACCGTAGGCTACTGCATTGGTTCTATTGTTGCGTTTCCTGCGGCGATGTACATGGCTAGAGTTCGGTGCTTCCTGTGCATTACCGGAAGTGACCTCTCACCCGTCACAAATTAACGTTTCGCTCCACTTCCTCTAGTACGGCAATAAGTGGCGAATTGTTTGTCCGTCACACCGTTTCCCGCGACACTCGGTTTACGGCCACGGATTTATCCACGCACGGACCCACCGAATTAGGTCATCGGATTACCGCCGTAGACGAGCGTTATACACGGGTTTCGAATAACTATCGTCTGAAGTGTTCCGGATAAGATAGGAAATTCCGTAGGGGGTTCGGACGACGTGGAAAAGAGGAACGGAATAAGGCGAAAATCTCTTTCACTCTCGTAGTCTGACGTCGTCGAGCCATACACGTAACTTAATACGATAGTAGGCGTCGTCCAATAGGAAGCCGTTTCGTCTGTTATTTCTCCCCACCCTCCGATAGTGGCGAGTTCTCGCGAGGAACTACAGCTGGATTGTCATTGCTCCTTTCGATGCGGAACGTACGCGCGAATTGGCTGCCGGTGTGCTGATCCTTCGTTCTCCCATCGACTTAAACTTGGATCGTTTCCGTTCTCTACACCGAATCCGTATCCCAATCATGTTACCCATGTCCGCTAGCCTTTAAAAAGCACTTGGCAGGATGAAAGTACTGAAGAAAATCAAGTTATTCGGTTAGTAAAAACAGCAGTTTTTTTAACCTATTCGCTTCTTTTATCTTAAATCCTCTTTAAACGGGGACGATTTCTACCCGGAACGTAGGTTACGCAATGTCCCGAATCGCGGATATTTGTAATTCTTAAAACGTCTTTCTTCCCGTTTAAACGGGGGAGTGGATATAATAATACTTTTGGCATTTTGTTCGATACGAAAGTTCGTTGCTCCCGTAAAATAGACGTCAATTTTGCCACAGAGATCTTCGATTTCTTCCACCGTCGATCGATAATCTCGAAATTTTCCGAGACTACGTTTTTGTTAGATGGATGACTCTAGGTCTGTCTGGCAAATCGTTGGCGTTTAGTGGTGAAGCACGTTACAAAATGGGGAATTTCCAGGCATTTCCGTTTTCCGAACGTATCCTTTGCCGGGAGCGACGCCATCGGATCTTTTTTTTTTTTTTTTAATATATATTTAACGGACGAAGAGTTCGACAGCTGGACCGGACCACCTGGACCGGATCGCGAGCAACGGATGTATTTCCGCCCGCCGGCTAGGTAAACATTAGCCATGCCAATTGGATTAGTATGCTCGACGCCGAAATATCTAGGAAGAGAAGTATCCGGTCGCACGAATCCCCCTTTCTCGATATTTTTGACAGGTTCAAATCGTACTTTCTGCCCGATTGTTCGGTTATATTGCCCAGACAGCTGCCCGGGCTTCCGGAACAGCTGGTGGGCAGATGTGTACCACCGAGACGGCATCTCGTCACACTGCGACAAACAAAAGAATTAATGACATCACAAAGGCGGCAGAAGTGCGAATTTTGATGTATTGCCCAAAGTAAAGTGGTCTGTAGCTAAGGTAACGGCGTTTTGTTGGTGTTGCGTGTAGGAGTGTCGAACTGGTGACGACCTCCCGTGTTAGAAATTCAATTGCCACTAATGTGTGAAATGCGATAAAAACAGTTTTAGGAAAAATGGTAGTCTTTCGAAATTTGTTTTTGTGGTAAAAATTTCCGCTCTTCTGTCGTCGTCAATTTGTGTCACCGTTAGATTCTCCTTATTTATAACTGTAGCTAGTTCGAGTCTTATCATTTATTCCCAATTTATTTATTTATTTTTTTCTAACTATTTTAAATAAAATTCGTAGAATATAGACGTGAATGTAATGTGAATAAACAGTTAGCATTTTATTGTAACACTTATATATACATTTGATCACTTCATATATGAATAATGATTATTCTAATTGCAAAAAAAAACAACTAAGTCTGACTGTTATGACTGTATTAACAATATACAAAAGTAATTTTTTCTTCTTACAAATGTAAATAAAACTGATCTCAAATCATTGTATGATAAGCAGTTGAGGATAGTTGCCTTTTTACATCTGTCTTTCTAAGGAAAAATATTTTTTTGGGTTGATTTGTAATGTTATCCAATGAAAATACTGTATTAAAATGAAAGATTGTGAACAAACTTATCGATAAATTGACTTATTCTACTGTTGGATTAATCAAAAAATAAGTACATTTAGGTATTATTTTTGCAGCATTTCCCCCACTTCTGACTCGCTATATTTTACATATTTAAGTATTACAGAATTAAGTTATATGATAAATTTAGACCAAAATATTTACTTGTCTAGACCGGTGGTGCCCAAACTATGGCCCCCCGATCAAATCTGGCCTGCGAACATATTTCGTACGTCGCTTGTAAATGATAGAAATGGGCTACTTTTCCTTCGCACAGAATATACAAAATATTTGTGGCCCGTCTAGTTAAGTTTTACATGAAATTTGGCCCACCAGTCAAAAAGTTTGGGCGTCGCTCGTTTCCAAATTTTATAGTTTCGAGCTATTAGCACAACAATTTATTAAAATATGACTATTAATCAGTATTAGCATATTAAATACTTCATATAAGAAATTAAAATATAAATATTTTTGAATAGCTAATAGATAAAAATAATTCATTCTTCTTTGTTATTATCTTATATAAATTATTTGTAGCTTATTTTCAATTTGTCATAAGTGGTTTTACAAAACCTCTAGCTAATTGGAAGAAGCAGATTTATGTTTCGAAAACAAATCAATTAGTAAATCTTTTAGCCTTCTTCCTGTTTATAAATAACTTGAGGAGCTGTTGGAATTTTGGTACTGTTACAGTAAAAAAAAACATCGTAACTCGACTCATATTTTAGGAATTAAATAACCAGATACGTAATAGTTAAAAAAAATATAAAGAATAGATTTTGAATTAATAATAGACTGACTTTGCGTTAAAGTTTTATATAATACAATTTGATCAGTTTTTTTTTTTTATATATATATATATATATAATTGTAAGGGATAATTATTCAATTTTAATCTTAATATTATTTATAACAGATTATATTCAGCAGCTGTGATTTCCAACAGTGCTTTTGAGGCCTTTATTGGGTGTGTTATGCACACAGTTGGAAGTCACTTAGGAGCACAGTTGGGAACCATAAGACACAAAATGGTGGAAAAAAAAATTGATTTAACGGAGTAAGAGTTCATAATAAGCATTTGTTTGTTCAACTGAATCTTAGCTTTAGTTGCTTTCAATGTTTATAATCTGTTATAATAATACAGAAAGGATAGTGAAAGCTAATTTAATGTTTTATTATATCAGATTATTCCTTGTAGAAATCCTGAATATTATGTAAATTATAAGAAAAATTTCATTTTTAATTGCACAAATTTGGAATAGAAAGTATATCAGATTCGCATTTCCAGGAAAAGTGCAATTACATGTTATGAAGGAAGTCGAAGCTTCGATGTGTGAAGGGTGTAACTTGGACGGGAAAGGGATTGGAAACAGACTTTTTATTTCTATTATATGTCACCATTCTAGAATATAAGGGAAAAAATCAGCATAAGAATGGAGACTGATCAAAAGAGAGGGGAAAAGATTGATAATTCTATCAATGGAAACCGAACAAGTAGATCAGAAGAAAACTAAAATATTCAAAAGCATAGAAACTTTATACTATAAATAATTATAATTAACTTTTTATTAATAAAGTGTTAAGTAAATATTATAGATTTTTTTTTATTTACTATGAATTTTATATAATACTATATTACCAAATAAGATAAGCAAAATATACTTTGTTAAAAAATATTTTAGCAAACTTAACTGAATAATCTGTCTTGTCTAATTTAATTTTTTCTTTATTTAAATGTGGTATTGCTTGTATGTCCCAATCTCTATGAAAATTGTTAAATCAGTTGCATATTCTTTTATGGCATTTTACATAATTTAGGTATCTGTTTCTTAAAATGAAACTTTGATTATTATTAGTTATAAAAATGTTAGTAACAAGGACTTAGTATAAAATAATTATTTAATCAGCAAATCAACAGTAAATGTTGCAGTATAGATGAATTCAAGTTACTTGAATGTCTGTGCTTTTAAGATTCTGCATAATAGTTTACGGGTATCCCTTGATTAACGCGGTTAATTAATTCCCCGACACTACCGCACATACCAGAATTGTATTAAGTAAATACGATATCTACGTTAAGTAAGTATGGCCGGTAAAGCCGCATTAATTAAAACTTCTGCCAAGTATATAAAGGGATTGCCGCAATTAATTTCTCGTGTTAATCAAATCCCGTGGTAAGCAAGGGATACCTGTATATTGAATGAAGACAAAGTTTGATTGCTTTAATTATTGTATAATAGATTTATGATGATATCTTTGAAATTATTGAGAAAGTGTTCAACAAACATTTGAATTAATAAATATGTAATCTGAAAATATTTGGATTGGGTCATAAATCAAAAACTTTTTTTGTTTTAGTAATTGTATATCATCAAATCTTCCTTAAGTCAAATATTGATAAAATTATGAAAAAATTTTGTAATTATGAATGTGCTAGATTTCAACTTTTTAAATTTAGTAGATGATGATATAAGAAGAGAAGCTTATATTTTTGTCTAGAAATACATCTGTTGTCTGTCCTATCAAATTTAAAAGAATTCAACGTATAATCCGGTTACTAAGTTGTTTTATTCTGTTATATAGAGTAGAGAATATTCTTTGTCCATCAAACACTAACCTCCGGTTTTAAAATGTAAATTTAATAAAAAACAAGTAAAACGGCAAAACCATATTTGGAACAAGACTGTCTTGGAGACTCATTACTAAGCGGAATCACTTTTACGATCAATGTGGGCTTCGTTCTCATTCTCCAATCTTCTTTGGTATCGCTTCTTTTGGGTGTGATCGTTCAAACTTCGCTGGCCACAACCGTGAGGTTGTCCACGATACATTTTTGATGAAATTAACCTATCCAGTTTCAAAATTTCTCTCAGTTGCATGTTGGCTCGTGTTGAATTTTTGTCGATGCGTAACAAAAGTTTTCCAGTTTTAAAAAAATAATCGTTGCTATTGTATCATCCAAAATTATTTTTTATTTTGCACAAACAATATATCGATTATAACGTCATTAGATGTAACAACANGTTAAAGTTTTATATAATACAATTTGATCAGTTTTTTTTTTTTATATATATATATATATATAATTGTAAGGGATAATTATTCAATTTTAATCTTAATATTATTTATAACAGATTATATTCAGCAGCTGTGATTTCCAACAGTGCTTTTGAGGCCTTTATTGGGTGTGTTATGCACACAGTTGGAAGTCACTTAGGAGCACAGTTGGGAACCATAAGACACAAAATGGTGGAAAAAAAAATTGATTTAACGGAGTAAGAGTTCATAATAAGCATTTGTTTGTTCAACTGAATCTTAGCTTTAGTTGCTTTCAATGTTTATAATCTGTTATAATAATACAGAAAGGATAGTGAAAGCTAATTTAATGTTTTATTATATCAGATTATTCCTTGTAGAAATCCTGAATATTATGTAAATTATAAGAAAAATTTCATTTTTAATTGCACAAATTTGGAATAGAAAGTATATCAGATTCGCATTTCCAGGAAAAGTGCAATTACATGTTATGAAGGAAGTCGAAGCTTCGATGTGTGAAGGGTGTAACTTGGACGGGAAAGGGATTGGAAACAGACTTTTTATTTCTATTATATGTCACCATTCTAGAATATAAGGGAAAAAATCAGCATAAGAATGGAGACTGATCAAAAGAGAGGGGAAAAGATTGATAATTCTATCAATGGAAACCGAACAAGTAGATCAGAAGAAAACTAAAATATTCAAAAGCATAGAAACTTTATACTATAAATAATTATAATTAACTTTTTATTAATAAAGTGTTAAGTAAATATTATAGATTTTTTTTTATTTACTATGAATTTTATATAATACTATATTACCAAATAAGATAAGCAAAATATACTTTGTTAAAAAATATTTTAGCAAACTTAACTGAATAATCTGTCTTGTCTAATTTAATTTTTTCTTTATTTAAATGTGGTATTGCTTGTATGTCCCAATCTCTATGAAAATTGTTAAATCAGTTGCATATTCTTTTATGGCATTTTACATAATTTAGGTATCTGTTTCTTAAAATGAAACTTTGATTATTATTAGTTATAAAAATGTTAGTAACAAGGACTTAGTATAAAATAATTATTTAATCAGCAAATCAACAGTAAATGTTGCAGTATAGATGAATTCAAGTTACTTGAATGTCTGTGCTTTTAAGATTCTGCATAATAGTTTACGGGTATCCCTTGATTAACGCGGTTAATTAATTCCCCGACACTACCGCACATACCAGAATTGTATTAAGTAAATACGATATCTACGTTAAGTAAGTATGGCCGGTAAAGCCGCATTAATTAAAACTTCTGCCAAGTATATAAAGGGATTGCCACAATTAATTTCTCGTGTTAATCAAATCCCGCGGTAAGCAAGGGATACCTGTATATTGAATGAAGACAAAGTTTGATTGCTTTAATTATTGTATAATAGATTTATGATGATATCTTTGAAATTATTGAGAAAGTGTTCAACAAACATTTGAATTAATAAATATGTAATCTGAAAATATTTGGATTGGGTCATAAATCAAAAACTTTTTTTGTTTTAGTAATTGTATATCATCAAATCTTCCTTAAGTCAAATATTGATAAAATTATGAAAAAATTTTGTAATTATGAATGTGCTAGATTTCAACTTTTTAAATTTAGTAGATGATGATATAAGAAGAGAAGCTTATATTTTTGTCTAGAAATACATCTGTTGTCTGTCCTATCAAATTTAAAAGAATTCAACGTATAATCCGGTTACTAAGTTGTTTTATTCTGTTATATAGAGTAGAGAATATTCTTTGTCCATCAAACACTAACCTCCGGTTTTAAAATGTAAATTTAATAAAAAACAAGTAAAACGGCAAAACCATATTTGGAACAAGACTGTCTTGGAGACTCATTACTAAGCGGAATCACTTTTACGATCAATGTGGGCTTCGTTCTCATTCTCCAATCTTCTTTGGTATCGCTTCTTTTGGGTGTGATCGTTCAAACTTCGCTGGCCACAACCGTGAGGTTGTCCACGATACATTTTTGATGAAATTAACCTATCCAGTTTCAAAATTTCTCTCAGTTGCATGTTGGCTCGTGTTGAATTTTTGTCGATGCGTAACGAAAGTTTTCCAGTTTTAAAAAAATAATCGTGGCTATTGTATCATCCAAAATTATTTTTTATTTTGCACAAACAATATATCGATTATAACGTCATTAGATGTAACAACAACCCTAATATAATGTAAAATTTTTATTGGTCCCACGATTTTACTGTACTAGATAATGTTAAAAACCTACTTGTAACGACACCCTGTTTTAATGTCATATTTGAAGCACTCCCAAATTTACAAAATTAGATTACAAATTTTATTTAACAAAGAAAATACTACAATTTCAGTCCTAGGGTCAGAGTCCACTTCCTAGAACGACCATGAGTGGTACTCTCACCACCTGACTTCGGTTTGCTTGTTTGTAGAGAGAGTCGCCATTTTGTATTTTATTTTGACTTGGTCTCAGTCCCCTGAGTATCTACAAGTCTGGTTTTTTTTAATACATGCATGATTTGGGCACCTAATACTCTGTGCCAAATTGCAACTCCTGACATGTACTCCTTCATACCTCTTAGTTGGTAACACAGCAAGCAGTACGATTTTATAAACAAGACATAGTCTTGTCAAAAAAAAAAACAGTTTTCAATTGTTTAAATTTAATGCCAAACGTCAAATGATTGCCAGATGAGATCGGGTCATATTCCTGCTACTATCTGCAATCGTTTGGCTATAATATAACTATTGGACTTACAAAGGTTTATATTTGCCTAAATTTAATATTACAAACGGAGTTTCGGCATTTGGTGGACATTCTCTATATTTTTAAAAATATTTTTTCATAAATGTGTGGGAAAATTTATAAAATGTAAATTGTAAGAACTACTTCTTTATATTTTTAAATCATGCTAACTGAAGTATTCCAAGCAAATGTGCTGAATATTATTGGAGAAGCAATATTACATATCAAGAAATGTAATATGATGATGATTTTTTATTCTATGTACAGTATAACATCTGTATATTGTGAATGTTTCATTTGCTCTCAAATAACTTTTAAATTTAAGCAATGTTTGTATTTTAATATAAAAAAAGTTTAAAAAAGAGTTTGTTTTATTAGAGGAAATATGTTGAATAATAATGTATAATAAACACTAAGTCAAACTTCCTTAATTTGAAATTCTTACTAACTTGCATTTTACTTCCGTTCCGGCTTGACTGCCATAGGCTCGATTTGTTCTGGGCTTCTATAAGTTGAAGTAGTTTCAGATTATATTTTGCTAACTTAAATTTTAAAATCTAGTGTCTTTATTTCTTGTCTAATTCTGCGTGTGATCTTCTGCACTTTCAAACAGATAACGATATCATTAAGTTGAAAATTAGTATTGTATAGAATTACTCCTCGTACAGCAGAATATAAAATTCAAAATTTTAATGCCCCTTTCGTATCTAAAGAAATGCTCTTATTTTTAAGTGTAAAGGACCAGTCGGTTCTTACACTTCAAAATTGTTTTCAAAATGCAAATTGACATCTTACTGAGTTACTATCCAATCAAATTTGAGTTCCTTATTTGGAACTAAATATTGATAGTGTGAAAAGATTAAACTGTGTGTTGACATTTTCATTCCAAAGTAAGAATTACTAACAAGAGAAAACGAAAGATTTTGTTGTTAGCAGACAAAATGTCACAAACAGTTTGGAGGAAAACAAGAAAAAATTAGAAATTGCAAAAGAATTTGACATTTCATTGAGTATTCTTCTTATATGTATGAAAAACAAGAGGAGGATATTTGGAAAATTTTATTGAATAACAGAATCAAACAGAAAAAGAAACCACAAATGTGAGAATCCAGATGCTGAAAATTGCATGCCAAAGTGATTTGTACATTGTAGAGAAAAGAATATTTCTGTTGATTGAAAACTTACAGAAAAAGCTGAACAATTCAGACAATTGGGATTGGATTGATAGAATAAGGGAGTGCAACAAATGGATGATATGCCAAGGGAAAAATCCTGTCTTCTGGGAGGACATTCTATGAGGAAACTGGTCCTATTTAGATGTTAGACACGTGAAGGAAATCCAGAAAACTCCACAGCTTCAGCACCTTAGAAAAGAATATTTTATTCTAAATAATTTATCTAAGGAAAGCTGTAAAGCACTGTCTAAAGTGCTTGCTTTTATATATTTTGTGTTAATTAAAAAAGTTTTTATGCCGACAGATAGTTATCTGTTGCTACCTACAAAATTGGCATCAAGCGTTCTTTTGATTTTAGTAGTACTGTATATTTAAATCTATTGATAATGCTATTACGAGTCGATAAATCTGTGAATAGACAGTGCTGAACTTTTTGGCAAGGAAAAGTGCTTATTTTCTTTTAATTACTATTGTTTGCAATCATTTGATTGACAGGAATGGAAGGTGATAGCTAAGAAACACTATATTAAATTGACAGCACAAAGCATTTGTCACTATACTACAAAAAGTGATAGCTCTCAAATTATTACACATATCACAATATTTAATCATTTGATTAAATAATCTATTGGCAATTAGTAAAATGTAAACCAAGTAATTGGATTTTAATCATTTGTATTTATAATATATAGGAGAGAGCTAATTCTTGTCCAGTAATTTAAAGGTTCGGTATTGATATCGAAGCAATTAACTAAACATTTCTAGGTTCTATTGAAAGTATTTATCAAATGATAGTAATTTTAATTCAAAATTTAATGTAGAGGAAAGTGGAATTGCCATCTGTTTGAGTTTTTAATAATTAGGTTAGTTTTTAATTAATTTTAAACATTAAAAGAAAAATCAAATGTAGAATTGGATTTAAAAATTCAAATCCCTGTAGATGTTACCAAGGTACATTCATAATGAAGCTGCTTAAAGATTTATAGACTATAATTTGGTAACAACTTTTCTCAGTTTGTGTAATTGTTTTTGAATTCTCTGAATAAATATTTTCTCCTGATATTAATTCTAATTATTAAAATTCTTTAGAGATAATGATTTCATTTATTTCAAAACCAAATTTTGAAAAAATGAAATTTTAGCCTATGAATAATCTGACATTGTTTTGGATTTTTCGGTTTCTTGATGATTGTTTTTAAAAGTTTACAATTTATTTGAAATTTATGATTGATATTGATTATAAAATCTATAACTTCTAGCAAATTTTGCTAATATCAAATTTTTAAATATTAATAATGGAAAAAATTTGTTTTTTAGCGTCATCTCACACCAGAAGTTCAAGTGTTCCAACAAATAACCTTCCGCCAATTGTCTTCCACGGAGTTCACGGAGAAAATATTCGCCTTTCTCGTAGCGGTGCTGTTGCTCGAAGAGCTGAAAGTTTCTGCAAGGGCATTACGTTCAGCGATCGACCCGTGTGCATCAACGAGAGAGTTTATTTGAAATTTGTAGAAACCTCCAGCAGTTGGAGTGGTGCTCTACGTTTTGGCTTTACGAACAATGATCCTATAAATTTTCGTTCTAGTCTGCCAAAGTACGCCTGCCCCGATTTGACTAATAAACCGGGTAATTGGGCAAAAGCACTCGGTGAACGATACGCCCAACCTGAAACAGTTGTTTTTTATTACGTAACTGAAAATGGAGATGTATATTTTGGAATTGATGGGGAAGAAAATGGATTATTTTTTAGTGGTGTAAATACATCTGGCCCACTATGGGCTCTTATTGATATTTATGGTAATACCGTGGGAGTCGAATTTGTAGGTAAGCATTTTTTTCATTATTATTTAGATATAATTAGTTTATGTATACATAATATGCATTTTTACATCATGAAATATGCATAAATTTTTTCTTGCTCATTCCAAAATTTAAACATACAGCTGTTTTTAATGTATCGAAAATTAATCAACAGAATATCAGTGACACAAATTCAAGTAATGTATAAATAGTTTTATATATTATTCAAAACTATCAAATAATGTTTTAACTGATGATCTGTTTAAATTTTACTGTAGTTTGATTGTGGAAATGTATTATTAATTGACATGATAATTGATCATTACTTAAGTGTACAAGAGAGAGATTAGATATATTTTTAAAGATTATTTAATATTCTTAACATTTGCCAAATACAAAAAGCAAAACAGTGAATTTTATTTTGAAAAAAGCTAAGTTTATTTGCAAATTACTTATTAAAATACTATGCAGATACCCTTCTGAGAATTTGGAAAGTAACAGTTTTAAAAATTGATACCTAACGGGAGATAAAGAAACATTACAGAAAAATCTATCTTGGTACATTTGCCACATTGGTATAAAAAGTGTATTTTCATAAACAAAAAACAGATGTAATACATTTGGTACTCAAACTGTATTTAAAATTTATAAGCTGAATTCTAACAAAATATCTGAAATTATACACATTTAAGAACTGTCAATTCTGTTAGTTATAATAATAATAATAATAATTATTATTATTATTATAAGTCAGCATTGCTATTACAACAGCCATAGTGTTGATACATGGCAATGACTGTGTAGTTAATAGTGCTTGTAAACAGTTTCCTACACCCTGCAGTTGGATATTTTACTCAGTTGACCATTTCATCCATTGTTGCTTCTACCAANATTTAGATGAGTTGGAAAATATTTACAATGGTTATTATATAACTACTTATTTATAATTTCAATATAGTAATAAGTAGTTTATTATTATTATTATTATAAGTCAGCATTGCTATTACAACAGCCATAGTGTTGATACATGGCAATGACTGTGTAGTTAATAGTGCTTGTAAACAGTTTCCTACACCCTGCAGTTGGATATTTTACTCAGTTGACCATTTCATCCATTGTTGCTTCTACCAAGTGTAAAGTTTGCACTGTAATTAAATTTTTCCAATTCAGCTTTGAGTTGATCTGTCTGCTGATTTACATCGGATTTTATGATTGGTTTTGTCCAATGTTATGACTGAAAAACTAGGCTACCACAAGCTTTGTGCTGGGTACCCAAGATAGCAGCCATTCACAAGGCTCAACAAATGGAGTCTGCCTTAATTTTTTTGCAGCATTATCACAAGGAGGGAAATTTTTTGGCTGAGGTTGTAATGGACGATAACACATGGATCCAATTTGGAAATGTCAAGACACAAGAAATCTAAACAAAATGTATACACAATTTGTTGCCATACAAACTAAAAATGTTCAAAAAACCTTATCTAACAGAAAGCTTAAGACTACTGTATTTTGGGACCATATGTTTGGTCCATTTGGACCATTTGGGAGTTTATGGAGTCTGGTACAATCAACACTTCAGTAACATACTGCATGACTCTTAAACATCTATGGAGGGAAATACACAACAATTGAAGAGGTGTGTTGTGATCAGGTGTTGTTAGCATATCACAGCAAGAAGACAGGAGCTTCATCAAATGTTCATATGTGATTTCTCAAACAACTTCCATCTGAATTTTGCAACTAGAGATCACCCACCATACATCCTGAACTTCAGTGATTTTTATCTGTTAACCAAATGAAAGTGTGGTTGAGCAAGTGATGGTTCACGACTAATGAGGGGTTGAACACTAATATGATGCATTGACTATGCACCCAGGCAACTGTGTGAGGAAGGTATACAAAGACTGGTGCTACATTATGAAATTTGCTTCAATTCAGATGTCAATACAACTATTTAGAGAAATAGCATTATCATGTATTTAACTTTTATGTATATTATAAGTTTTTTTACTGCTCCTGTTTCTTTCTTCTAATTTATCAGGGGTTGGAAAAAACTACCCTTGTATAAAATAGTGGATATATGGCAAAGAGTGAGTTACATTTGAATGATTATATTGTAGCTGCGACTTGACTTTGTGGTGATTATTAGCATATGTTCTAGATTAAATTTAATAAATGTGTAGTATTTATTAAATTTTACTAAAGAATAATTTTTTTTATATATAAGTGATCTGGAGAGATTTGAAATTGCAAGTAATTTTGCAGTGTACAGTAGACCCCCCTATAACGTGGTAGATACGTTCCACTTTATAAGAATTTTACATTGCAGGAATCCTTAAATACATAAGCCAATCACAGCCCGACACGTGTGAAGTTTACAGACTACGGCTGTTTGAAAGTTTTTCTTCCATAAAATTAATCGATTCTAGACTAATTTGACTCAACATTTCCAAAACATGTATAATTTTTTGAGAATAATCAGTATAAACAATGCTATAAACAAAAAATTGTAGGATTACTTACCGAGTGTGCACCGTTCGACATCGCCATTGCTTAAGCTTGTTTTCGTCGCGGAGCAGCACACCAAACGGCGGCTGCGATTTCTGATAAGTTATTTTTCTGCGAAAAATTCGTTGACCTTTGGATACATCATTAATATACAGTCGATCCCCCCCCATATAACGTGGGTTCCTATAACGGAAATTCCTATAACGTAGCAAAAAAATTGCGGCAGTATTCGTATAAAGGGACTCGTAAAACATCGTTGCTGACTCGTGTTGCAACAAGATTGGTTGAATCTGGACCAATAGTGGATGAGCAGCTGAACTACTTTCTGCCGTCCAGCGCCACACTACGGAAAGTTTAGGTGGGTAAATTGAGTTTGCTATCGTCTATACAGTATTATATATAAACTAGGTACTCTACATATAATTATATATTGATTATATATAAATTAGGNGGCCGTTTAATAAGAAATGTTTCTTTCACAAGAAATGTATAAAATTACAGTACTGTATTAGACTTACGGTACCTAATTTACATATTGTACAGACGATAGTAAACTCAACTTACTCACCTAAACTCTCTGTAGCGTGTAAGTAGTTTGGCTGCTCGTCTACTATTGGTCCAGATTCGACCAATCCTGTCGCGACACGAGTCGGCGACGACATTTTACTAGTCTTTTTTAGTATCTTTATACGAATACTGTCACAATTTTTTTGCCACATTATAGGAATCTGTTATAGGAATCCACGTTATAGGGGGGTCTACTGTACTTGTTTTCCTAATAAATAAGGAGACAATTTGAAAAGGTCATTCATCAAATTAAATTTTATCAAGCTATAAATATTACTTAATTTAGTTGAATAATTCATGCACTTTTTTCCAATAAATTATGACAGAAAGTCTGAATGCACAGTTTATTTACAACAAATTTGGTGATGCAACCCATAGTCCAGGGTACTTCCTGTTACTAAGTGTTTTGCTTACTTTGTTAGTGATAAATTTTGCTTTGCAATTGGATGATTTTCTTAATATAACGCTGCAATAATATTAAATGTTTTTGTGCAACTAATTTCACGAAAATTTGGTTAAATGAAGTAAGTTAAATATACAACTTAGATCAACAGTAAATAATCTTTTTCATCTATTTGGTTTAAGCTGTTGATCAGTTAGTTTTTCGTTTTGAATTTGAAGCAAACAATGTAAAGAAGTGTTACTTTCCTTTTATTAGTAAATTAATTTATCATAAAATAGATTACTGCAAATTGCAGATAATTTATCACTATTGGATATACAAATAATTTTTCCCCCTTTGTATTTTTATCTTTTAATACTATGTGGCCTTGTAAACTAAGTACCACCATATTGAATGTTAAAATAGTGAGAGTGACGGTTGCTATTGCGTTACAACTATAAATTAATAAAATTTACTAAATATATAATAAATTAAATTGATCAATTTTTTAAAACCAGTATCTCCAGAAATGGGATGCACGAATTACTCAAAGGCACGTAATCTGTACATCCTGAAACTATTCAAGTAAATACAGTAATTTGCTTGAAGTTAAAATTGAATTTGTTGTAATCTTTCAAACCAATTTTTGAAAGTTGACGATAGCCATCTTATATCAATATTTAACATAGTAAAAAATGTTTTAATTTATATTCAAAGTTGTTTGTTGGAGAAAAGAATGATGCCAACAACGTTAAAAAAGAAAAAAAGCAAAAAATGTATAGCATTTGTTTTGGGACCGAACCTGACACGTAAGGAAAATCTTTCATGGTAGTTAATTGGAAAAATCTGCTAATTCTTAATGTTTCTAAAATTGCCAAGACATCACCTATAAAATATACTGCAAATAAAGCAAGGATAACATCAGAATTTTTTTCTAACTAGCTGAAAAAAATGAGTAGCTGAAGTAATTAATAGATGAGAAACACGTGAAGTAATAAATTCTACCGTATAAGTCACACATTCTCCAAAGAAACAGATGGACAGATGTAACATGACTGAGTGAGACAGATGTATGTATGAATTCCATTTGAAGCCAAATATTTTTTCTTCAGATCTTGATATCTTACTTTAAGGCATATAATTTACTGTTTCTTGTTTATTATTGACTCTATAAAAGTATTGACATCTATAAATCAAATAATACTAGATACTAATATATTGAAAATTATATTTACATAAGGCAGACAAAAGTAAAAATTGAAATCTTAGTATATTTAGTGTAGTAAGAAAATTGAATACAATAAGATAGATTGGAAAATGCATGCATTGTTAGATTTTGCGGTTCATTTTAGTCGGACTACATGAAGTAGATTAAATGTTGAGCCACCTTATCGGCATTGTAATTCTGTTTATTTATATTAGAATACTACATCAATTAATACCGTACCAACAGAGACAATTTGTTCATGCCAATTCTGAATATATTCTGAGGATTTAGATGAGTTGGAAAATATTTACAATGGTTATTATATAACTACTTATTTATAATTTCAATATAGTAATAAGTAGTTTATTATTATTATTATTCTAGAATTTAAAATATAAATTCTATATTAAAATCACAAAATAATGCTACAATATCATGTGTTATAGAAAAACAAAGAGGAAGAAAAAACTTTTGATGTTACTGCTGTGATCAATATTTCTCTGAATTTCTAGTCATAGGTTTAAAATTATTTAAATAAGTTTCAAGTATACTAAACTGGCTTATATTAAAAGTTTTAAATTGATTTTGAACTTAAATTTGAATAATGTTTTAAGAGAAGTTTTTTGTGGAAACATTGCGTGTTCAGTTCATTAAAAATATGAAAAACTAGAGCCATTAGATATCTAAGAATAAGAGAGGGTTTTTTATCATATCTTAGAACTGTTTAGACAAACAACAAACAGTTTTTAAGTAGAAAGTTTAAGTTTCTTTTTAAGAATAGTTCTGTAGATTGGAGAAACTGCATGCTGATTGATAATGCTACTTAAAATATATAGCATTTTTGTACTTAAAACACACCCAATGTTCACATTTTATCTTTTAACAATTTTATTTGAAAAGAGAGATAAGCAGGGTTTAGTTCTTTAACACTAAACTGACAGTGAAATTCCATTTTTTTGACAACTTTTTGATATTTTAATATTACTCTGAGATGCAAGTTACATTGCATTGTTAGTTACAAAATATTTAGTGAAAGGTGTGTGTAGTTTTCCACACTTCTTATTCAACTGATGTACCTTTTAATCTCTCTAAAAATCTTGATTCCTATATACTGTATGTTTTGGTATCTTTTCAAATATTGAAATATATGAATATATTTAAGATTTTTTTTCTGATTTATATTATATTTGTCTTCTCCATTCTATACAATTATATTTCAAAAGAAAAAAGGATAAAAATGTTAATTTGTTTTTTATGTAATGTAATGGGGTTTTGTATCTGAAATTAGCAGAAAGCAAAATCTATATTTTGCAAAAAGAAAAATATAGATTTTGCTAAAAATATAAAATATGGAGGAAACTAAAAAGGTGTCTTCATTTCTGTCCTGTCCAATCAACAGGAACTAAAACAGTCTTCTTTTACAGAGACAACCTTTTATTAGAGGCTATGTCTGCACAATATTATATAAAAGTTTGAGCTGATGATTAGCCAGAACTTGTAAAAATATATACATAATTTCAATTAAAAAGGCAAATGGTATATTCACAAAATATAAAATATTTTCTTCAGTATTTTATATCTTGTGAATATACAATTTGCCTTTATAATTGAAATTATGTATATATTTTGCATTTTGCAAAATTTATGTTTAATAAAAGTTTTTCTAATCAATTTTATACAAATTTCAATTCATTTCTATTGCTTTAAAAATCTGCATAACTTGGCATATAAGATAATATCTTTTCTCCTAACTACAGTTTCTTCTTTTTAATGTTTCTAATGTGCAAATTTGTTCATATTTGACAGAGAAATAAAAGCATGAAAATGTGAAACTGTTTGCTTATAAATTATGTGATTCCTTTTATAAGATTACTCTATTTTGCACTACCAAGTAACTATTACCTAATTGCATTCTATTTAATATGCAGATTTTATTTTTATTATTATTATTATTTTATCCTGATGATATAGTGATGAAAATTATAAGAATTAAAAATAATTTTTTTGCTAATTTAGAGATTTTGTAATAATGGAAGCAATATCTAAGATGATGATTTGGATTTGTTTACGTTAAATTTTTTGAATCCTTAAAATGGATGTCTTATTTTTATAAAATTACTTTAACAAAGTTGTTTGTAATTGTTAAATTAGCCTGTTTTTTTTCTTAATTTGATAAAAAAAAAACATTTTTTATTTGCCGTATAATAATCATAATTTTTTTTTAGATCCTAGACATCAGTTAAATAATAACCGTCATCACGTAACGGCTCCGTTACCCATTGAAGACGAAAGCTATATTCCGTCAGTAGCTGCTCTTAATTTAGAAAATGAAGATACGGAACTTCAGTCACATCAAAGTCATTTCTACAATCCCTTGCCATTTCATAAAACAACAGGGATAAATATCATTTTGTCTCCTGATAGGTATGTTTTCTTTTATTAAAAAAATATTTACTAGACTATTCATATTGGTTCAGGGTTCTTATGCACCTGGAAAATCAGGGATTTTCATTAGTGTTTGGAAAAAGTCATAGAAAGTGAGGGAATTTGCCTCCTTAGCTGCCTTGTTGATTTTTTTGCTCACAATAAGGTAGCCATCTGCAGGCGGAAAGAAGTAATGTGGTACAATGCAACTTATGAAAAGGCATGCAGAATATTTTCAGGACCCCAAGATTTCTCCCAAAAATTATTGCATGCAAAATAAAACCATAATTTATGAACTAATTAATAATAATTATTATTACATAGTTTGGAAAATTTTAATTAAATCATACATATAAGTAAGTAGACCTACCATACAATTTTCCATGCAACACTAAACTCATAACTTAACATAAATATTTTAAATTAAAAGAATGTTTTAATTTAAGTACATGTTTTCATCATTATAGGATAGTATATACAATTATTAACTAGATGCAATATGTTTATTAATAGAAATAAAATTGAATTCAGTGCCATAAATGATTATTTTTATCTTTTATTAATGGACTTTTTGACATCCAAAAATACAAAAATTTTTTATGACAATGACCTCAGAATGATTTTTTATGACTCAAAAATTTTATTTAAGGATGAACTTCAAGTAATGAACACCAAAAACTATTGTAAAAAGGGAAATTTTCATATTGAAATTATTTTCCCACCATGGCTTACTTCTAAAACACTCATTTAGTTAAAATTAATTTAACTTAAATAATGCAAAGTTAATAGAAATATTACATACATTTAAAATTTAAATAATTTCATTAAAACATTATAATTTTTTGAATTTACTGGAAATTTTAAAGTAACACAAGTTTGGGTTTGGGCCATGGTAATTAATATTGGCTTCCTTATGTCTTAGTGGATAAAACACTGGTAGTTGGTTGCAGGTTTGCATCTGAACAATGGGCTGGCCACATAGTTTTTTAGATTTCCTTCACAAAGCTAACATCTAAATCAGTGTTTCTCAATGGGGTGATATCACCACCATGTGGGCGTTTATCCATGTTCAGGGGGCAGTTAGCAACAATTTATATTTTGGGGGGTGAAAAACAGTTTTCTGGGCGATATAGTAAAACATTATATTAAGAATAATTAGATATTTTATTCGTTATATCATACAATGATTAAACAAATAACATTATACTAGTCACTAGTCTATTCAGTGCAGTACAAATTTGGCATTAGCATTGTCCCTCGGCATCAGAATTTTGTAGTGAAGGGGGCGATAGTACGTAACGGTTTTATTGAAGGGGCAATACTACGTAATGGTTTTATTGAAGGGGGCGACGATTCGTTAGAGGTTGAGAAACACTGATCTAAATAGTCGGTTTCTTTTAGAAAGTTTTTCTGGGAGGCATCTTTCCTGGCAAGATTTCCAGATGTTGCATTGTTTTTTCTCATAATTCTACCCATTCTGAGATATTCTTGAAAGCATCATCTGAAAACACTGAAAATGTTTGCATAGTGTGTAGTGCTGAATAGTAGAAATTTTCATATCCAGGTGGTTGAGATGAATTCATATGACAGATTTCTCAACAGTGTATGGTCCATAAATTTCTGTGGGTCTGGGCAAATATGTTGACAGCAAACTATGCAAATTAGGTAAATGATACATCAAAATTTATTAAACAAGTCTACCATAAGGTGAAGTTTGAGAAACACTAGGTTAATGCATGTCATTGGGGTATTTTGTAGTTTTATATATATTTGTAGTAGTTTCAGTTTTTCAAAAATTGTATTAAGTTTTTCTTTTACAATTTAAATAAAGATGCACTGTTGATAATAAGAATATTAAAACTATTATAATGAAATGTTGACTTAATGTAATGGTGTGTGTGTGTAATAAAAATGTAGAGTGTTATTTATTTATCAATTTTTATTTTTGATTTTTTGATACTATACCTAAAGACCAAGTTCATAATCAGTTCTTTAAACTTTGCAAACTATATCAATTGAGTTAATTTTAATTTTTAAATCAAAATATAAATAAATAAAATATATCAAAGCTAGAAAATTGTCTTCATGTTCAGTCTTTAAATGGACAAAAAGACTTGGGAGCTTTGATATATTTTATTTTATATATATATTTTGATGTAAATACTGTCGACCAAATTTTAATTTTTACATTTTTTTTTCACAATTTTAGATTTAATAAGTAAGTCTTATTATACATAAGACTTACAATCCTACAATGCAATAGAATAATATTTTAAAATCACTCAAAATTAGACCTTATAAATTGCAATCACTTTGTGTATTTTTTTCATTTTGTTTAATGTTTATATAATTATTACAAATGCTTACTTTTTTTACCTAGTGCAGATTAATTTTAAAAACTAATATTGATTGTTTATGCGAAGAATTATAAAATGCAACAAGGAGGAGAGCATTGCAAAATACCAGGGGATCAAACTAAGTTCTCAATATAATATATGGCGATATCAATTACCATTTGTAAATTTTAACACAGCTGTATTAATTATTCAGTATTATGAATTTTAGAGAAAAGTCTGTGATACTCCTAATAATCTAACATTGATTAAAATTTTTTTGAAACATTTTAACACTACAAATCTCTCACAATTACCATTTACACTCTGTTTGATGGCAGACATTAATGAACTGATTAAAAAAATGATAACAAAGTACAAAAAATGATAAATGATATATAATACCATTTAAATTAAAATTATTTTTTATTTTAATAATATTGATTGTATAACAAAACAATTTCTGATTTTTTTTCCCCAGTTTATTAATATTTTATAAAATTCAGGAAATTTATTAAGAGGAATTTAATAAATATATACTTTTCTACATAGATTATACATGATTTGTTAAAGAATAATAATGGCTTTTTATATATATTTTTTCCAAATCATATAAATTTATGGTTGTGGATTAATAACAGGATAAACTATTTTAAGGTGGATATACCATTGTGAGGGTGAGGCTGCCTTGAACAAGACCACAAACATACAGTTCATTTCCTGGACCTCCAGCTTTCCTCATCCAAAGGATGCATATCAACTCAGGTTTACAGAAAACTTACACGCCACCCAACATTCATCCCTGCTTCTTCCTGCCTCTTCAAGATGGCTGGCTCAGGGCCTTGATTCGAAGCGCCTTCACCCATTCCTCGGACACACAAGATAGAGATAAATATCTCCTTACAATTGCCCTATATGCAACTCGGCACAACTACTCCCCTCGTACTGTTAAAGGCCTTATATGTTGTCTTTCCTCCACCACTTTTGCCTCACAGATAAATCACACCCAGGACACAGGTTATAGGACTGTCACTTATGACAGAAAGCTAGCCACCCTTTACAAGGAAATATCCAGGAGAAATAACTTTTGTTTAGCATTCTGTAGAAGTCCCTTAATTTTCTCCCTCCTCTGCAATACTAAAGACCATCTGGACATGTGCCTTCAACTAGGCAGCTACACAATCCCTGTCATCAATCCTAGATCCACTTAGAATACCTAAATGTTACAACCCTTTAAACACCTGCCTCAAGGAACATCAGATGTCCATCATGAAAGAATTAGCCAACATAGAGTTGGCTATCTATGCCTCTGACTCCAACATGTGGAATTTCGCAAAGCATGCCTCTTACATAACTCTTCCAGGCAATATTTTCTCAAACATCTTGAGCAGATTGAAATATATAAGGTCACCCACAAAAAATTGCTATTAATTTTCATGATGTTGACTCTCCCTACAGCATGGAAGTTGTTTTATGAACTATAAATCTTACTATCCTCCCCCTCCTCATTTCTCTTATCTTATATCATCTCCCTTTGCACACATATTCCACAATTCCCTTGTTGTTTTGGCATTTAGTGATTAGTTTGCCTGATGATGGCTGTTCAACACAGGAGAAAACGTTTGCATTTGTTATAAAAATTTGCTGGTTTATGGGTTTAGTGTTTTTTAATTTTAATACAGTCATTAATCAATTTGCTGTAATAAAATTTATTGAAAAGACCTTTTATGTAAGATGGGAAACAATAGTTACTTGCAGTTTAAAACTTATAGGTGGGTTAATATTAATCATTAAATAATATATAAGGATATTTCATTGGAGAAAGATTGACTCTCCCATGTATATTTTAATTAGAGAACTCATTTTGAATATTGCAAAGATAAAGTCTTGATTACTTTGAACATCCTGATCAAGTGTACCCAAATATTTTAATATTTAACATCTGGGTACCTGCTGCTGATAGACTGAGGCTTGAAAGCATGTCTTGATTTTTAATGTTTTAGTGACAGTGTTCTCCAAAAAAGTATTTCGAGATAAGATGCTTAGAAATAATCTCTGGTATGTGGTTATTATATATGTGAAAAGGTAAAAAAAGAATAGTTTGTGAAGTAATTTAAATGTAATTCCAATTTAAGTTGTTCACAATAAGATTAAAATATTTATTTATTTCAGATGTATTGCAGTTAGAAATGACATGGAATTCTGTTGTGGCTATGTGTTTACTTCACGTCCTCTTCAAGTTAGAGAAAAACTTGTAGTAAAAGTATTAGAAACTGATAGATCTGAGAGAATTAGATATGAAGGAGCATTAGCTTTTGGTGTAACTTCTTGTAATCCAGCATCGATCAATGGTAGAGAATTACCTGTAGAAGCCGATAATCTTCTAGATCGTAGAGAATATTGGGTAGTTCAGAAAAATGTTGCAGATTCTCCACAGAGTGGTGATGAATTGTCTTTCACAATAACTGAAACAGGTAAGATATTTCTGGGTTTTATTATAATTTTGTGCTGTCATTGCATGATTATTAAAGAATGAAGAAATAAAATAATTACAAGTTAAATCAAACTTTACTGACTGAAACATGAACATAACTTATATGAGACATTCTGATTTGTCATAGATCAAGTTATATTTTACATTGTTATTCAAATGTCACTGTGTAATCATGAGTTATTGAACAAAGTCAGTATTCATTTCCAAGTGGATCACACTGTATAATAGGAAGTTCAGCACTTGCCTCAAGCGCTGCACTTCTTGTTGAAAATAGGGTTCTGTAAAGCCACATCTGTCATTCATGATGCAGTAATATTTCAACTAATGTGATTTACTTGTTTGCATAAATATCTGCCCCAAACATTTTATATTTATTACACTTGGACATCTTATATATTCACTCATTTTATTTCTTTATTTTAAAGTATAATTATATGTAGAATAATTGCAGTCTGACTCCAGGCAGAATGTTAAAAAATGTTAGTAAAAATTTTAAATTAGTAAGCAGATGTTTTTTACTTGGAATCTACTCCCTGAAGGCTTTGATGAATAGAAGAAATTTATGAAACACTTCAACTCTACGACAGAACTAGGGAAGTTTTTGTTTCAAGCAAAAACATCTGTTTAATTTAAATTTACAAAAACTTGTAATATCCAGTTCTAGCTCATAACATTACTCTGTAGTACCTTGAGCCAACTTAATTGTTGGTATCTTGTACTATTACAGGATTCTCTTGGCCCTTAGAAATTCCTAAAAGTTCTTAATAGTCCTTTGTTTATAATTGATACTTATAAGCACCCATACAAGAAAAGTTAAAATTGTTATTTGTTGAACAATTCAAAAACCAGACAGTGGAACAACCTAATTGTTATTGCTTCAATAGTTTATTTTCTCCACAGAAGTAGGTAAGATACACTGAGAAATTGCAGAAAACATCTTACAAAAAATTTTCAACTTCTTAGAAATTGAAAATTTATGTTGAGACTTCATGCCAAGGATTCATTATTGATTATATAAGAAAAAATGGTAAAATTAGTATATTTGGCATGAAAGTTGTTAAACAGCCATGGCTAGCTAATCTTTGAGCCAGGCAGAAATGTCATTTATCTTTCAAAGAAGACAGATATAAAGAAAAATGAAAGTAAAGAAAAAAAGAAATTTATTTTTGAAGAAATCAAAACTTTGCAGTTCAAAAAACAAGATTTCTGGCTGCAATTAATGACTTACAAACATCTGCAGACAACCTTGAGGATGAAACACAAAAACCAACATTACAACACATGCATCAAATATAAAGAATACCACGAAACTATTGAGAAACTATGCTATTAGTTAAAAAAGAAACTTAGATATTAATCCATCCATTATAAAAATCATAAAATATCATAAAAATCTAATAAATTTTATTTTTAATTTAAAACTATTTAAATGAATTTATTCATATTCTATGTATCATATGTGATCTTTGAGAAGGTCTCAAATTATGGCTTGATTCATCTTTTGATGTTAAAAATACTTGATAAAAATAACTCATCATTTAAGATGCACTTAATAAGACAAAGCAGGTGAAATTTCATGTTTATTAGCATTGGCTTGAGTTATGAGGAAAGACTGTTTTTGAATAGTGACAGGTGCAGTAATATGTATTTATATAGTATTAAAGTTTTTTATCTGCTGGATCACTGTCAGGTCTTAGAAGTTTTAATGATTTACAAAAATGACAGTCCAGCTGTTTTAATGAAATTATAAAATAATTTTGAGTCGCTAGTAATAAAAAATACGTTTATCATATGTGACATTGTAATTGTAAATACAACTTGTGTTGAACTTTAGAAACTGATATGCAAATTATATTTAGAAAAATATTTAATACATCTGTTAAAGCTGTTTAATTTTATTTTTGATTTTATTTTAAGCTCTTTTTTTTTAGTTGAAGACTAAAATTTGCATACAAAAGAAATCTTACCAGGGACTTACTAAAACAGATGAAATGGATAAAATTTCTGTATCCATTTTAATATAATAATAAGTTTATTCTAATAAAAAATTACATGTAATAGTAAGGGGCCCTTAATAAATTGTGCAGTTACAAAATGGGAAAGTTACAGACAGCATATTGTTTCTTAGAATATATATCAGATGCCATACTTTATTTCATTATAAACTACTAATCTGTTTTCATTTACAGGTGCAGTATGTTTCACTAAAAATAATCTACCAGCACAAGTACTTATGTATGTTGATCAAACACAACAGTTATGGGCATTTTTTGATATTTATGGACATACATTAAAATTGCAAAGTTTAGGTAAGTAAAAGTTATTCCAGTTTTAAAGGTTGTCAAAATATAAACTTATTTAAATGTAACTTTCTGTCATACAAAAAATCTTTTCATTTATTTTTATCATTGTAAATTTTTATAGTAGAAAAGAGAGAGTAAAAGATACAAAATAGTACAAAAGATGAATTAAAAATATAAATTGTTTAAAAGAAACATTCTTGCAAAAAAATTAGGTCAGTATAATTTGAATATAGTTAGTTGCAGATGATGATTCTCCTTGAATGGAAAAATAATAAAGAACACCTACGTGAAACTTTTTGAAAGATTTTTGAGAAATACTTAAAACTGTGTGCTTTATATATAAAATTGTAGCTAATTTTAGATTTTAGCTTGATTAATCTATGAAGTTTGTCATCTAAAAAAAAGAAAATAAAACTTCTTTACATATTATATTAAAATATTAAAACTCGATTCATATTTTATCGCTAGCTGATGTATCTGACAGGCAGGGTCCCTGTGTGAATGGAGAGCTGTCGCTGCAAAGATGATTTTGGGCACCCTTTTGGAGACCCTGCTTATACAAATAACGTAATGATATTGAAGTAGAAAAATAATCTTCTATAAATGTCAGCCCATGGCCAAAGTTATTTCGTTATTTGGAAAATTGGCAGTTTCTTAACATTTTTCTTTGATGGTGCTCTCAAAAGTTCATGGGCGGCCTTGGAGCAGCACCCTGGCTGCACTCTCTCTTGTAGGGCCTGCCGACAATGCTAGGATTACCTTATGAAAATGTCAGATAGACCAAAACACTACATGTACTTTTGTTGGTTTATGTATCCTTGCATAGATTTGTTCTATTTTTATTGTACAGAATATTCACAAAAGTTAAATAAAATTTCTCTTAAATAATGAAGAAAGTAATTAATTCTTAGTACATCAGTCTAAACAAAACAATTTAAAGTCAGTGCTGTCTAACTGGCGGCCCGCAGGCCGTATACGGCCCGCCAAATAATTTTTACGGCCCGCGAGCACATTTTACTATGAATAAATTTATTTTACTAAATTATTATTATTAATAAAATTATTTTACTACCGTGTTTCCCCGAAAATAAGACAGTGTCTTATATTAATTTTTGCTCTTAAAAATGCGCTTAGTCTTATTTTCAGGGAATGTCTTATTTTTCCAGGAAGAAGAATTCACATTTATTATTGAACAAAAAAATTCCCAAGTCGAACTTAGACGAGAGTGACGTATATCCGGTGTGTCGAACTGTCACCTTTTTATAGCGTCAACATCGGACTCGCTGACCAATTAGTGCTTACTGAACCGTAGCACTATGCAAATGTCATGTGGTTTATAAACCTTCTTGGCCCCCGAAATGTTTGGTGAAGAAAATATGGCCCGCGGGCTATGATAAGTTGGACAGCGCTGATTTAAAGTGATATAGTTTGAAAAGCAATAAGTATATTGCAAAGAAACATAGAAAGTAGATGGAAAATAATATGAACTTTTAAACACTTTTAAAAAATAGTCAAGTATCACTAGTATTTGTTAGAAGTGATAAACCACATTGCTGGTGTTTGGATGAAGGGACACCAATTAAATGGTTGTAACACCATGGCCAATTTTTCAGTTGCACATCATTATTTAGATTTCATATTTTTAAGTAGTTGTTAACTTATGACTGACTTCGCAGCCATGAGCATGACTGCTGACTGGTATGTCTGGCACTGCAAGCTGTGCCCAGTTGGGTGTATGATAATTTGCAATGATGATTAATATTTGTTTTGTATGAGTTTTAGTTCTTACGAATTTATGACAATAGCAAATATGCCAACTGTTTGCCTTTTCCTCCTCTGTTTGTCCTTATCACTTTTGAGTTTTAATAATGTCCATGACTTTCTTTTAATTTTCCTATTTTAAACAAGAGCTATTTCCCATCATTTTTAAAAACTACATTGTCTGGTTAGTTGTATAAACAGAAATTTTAACCCATATGGGACAATGGTAAAACTTGGTTAAGATGTTCCTGCATGAAATTTTTTCCTTCTAAGTTATTCAAATTCTGTGATTCCATCATTTTGTCCATAAGGCACATGTTAAAATTTTTGCATAAGATTGACGAGCATAAAAATAAGAAAACAATATTTAGAGAGACGATATTAGAATGGCATAAGATGTAAAAGCCGACTTATGACAAAATTGATTTGTCTTGCAGGACCAGTTACGGTCATAAGTTGACTACCTGTAATTAAATTATTTAATTTACTTCCATTTTGGAAATTGTAAATTATCAAATGTGAAGTTAAATGTGGTGATGTTTCTGGTAGTGAATTTGTCCATAGGCAACGATATTAGATTTGTTTGCCAAAAACAAACTTTTATGGTCATTTGATGGAAATTTGTGAGCTTTTTTGTGAAATTTTTCTATAAAATACAATAGACTAGGTTTGCAAGAAAGAATATAGATAAAAAGGTTTTGTATAAAGGAAACAGACTTAAATTTTCTTTCAGCTTATTAAATTGATTACTGTTGCATAATCCATGTTGCATAATCCATGTATGTATATATGTGTATATATNATTCGCACTTGTTCGAAGAAAGTCCATTGTTCGTCTCACGTAACTGCCGAACGGAAAGTACGTTGTTCGCAGCAAGTCCGTTGCTCGAGTCACGTAACGGTCAAACAGAAAGTCCGTTATTCGCAGCGTCCGTTATTCGAGGCGTACGTTATACGAGGCACCACTGTATATAGAATGTGATAGTATCAATGCATAAATACTAAGTAAAGGTACATAATTAAAACCAAATTTGAATTTTTACTTTGTAATTAATTAGAAATAAATGGAAAAAAGTTGAGTTTTCAAGTATAATTTTGTTGGCCATTACATAGATAATCTGTGTGTTTTTTTAAAATAAATTTATCTGTTTTGTTTAAAATAGTTTAAAAAATATTGTAAAATTTTGGAAAAATATGAGGATTACTTCACTAAACATCTTTGAGGATAATGAAAAATATGTATATTTTTTACAGTTCAATTTACTCATTAATTATGTATATATCAAATACATAAGAATTTAAATATCTTTAGACAATGATAAAATTTTTATTTCAAAAATAGGAACAATAGAAAGTTCAAGTTTTCCTAGAATACCATATAGAGATGGAAATAACAGTTCAAACATAAATGGAGAGAGGCATTTAAATATGGGCACATCATCCCCTTCTATCTCTGGACTACAAGTTTGTCTGCCACCAGCCACTGTTCATTCTCCTCACAACAAAGAAGGTAATAAATTGATAGCTAATGCTAATTATTAATAATATTTTATGAAGAGATGTTTTCTTACAAAACTGGAAAAAACTTTTTTTTCAGATTCGTTGATTGGTAGAGAATGTGTCGTCTGTTACGATCAGCACGTCGACAGCGTGCTCTACAGCTGCGGTCACTTGTGTATGTGTTACACCTGTGCGGTGCAGCAGTGGAAGGGTGAAGGCGGCGGACAGTGTCCCATCTGTCGGGCGGTCATCAGGGACGTCATTCGTATATTCAGAAGTTGATTAAAATATAATAGAAGAGTAAATTTAAAAAATTTGTCAATTCAAGTAACCAGTGTAAATTGTGGCGTGGATTAAATATAATACAGATGTTGCAATTATTGTATATATATATATATATATATATATTATAGTATATATATATAATATGTACTATTGTGAAATGTATAGATATGAATTACTGGAGATGGAGCACATAAGAATGCAGATTTACCTCTACAAAAAAAAAAAATTCGTAACTGTCATTGCTTTCAAAATTTGAGCGCATTAGAAAATACTTCTGGCAGCTAGTTAGGCAATTACTAACTGATGACCAAGAGATCATCCTTTTTCATTGCAATGCTCTGATTTTATCTATTATTTTAGTAAAACTATCCAATAAAGAGAACACATATATGTATATTTTTATAAATTTAAAAACCATTTGCAACTGATAATGTTTTTTTCTTTATTTCAGTTAAGTTTCTTCTCGGAATAGTTTAGTTATATTTTCGTATTGCTCGTCATAAATTAATTCCCAGAAAACAATGATATTCGTGTAAGTAAAGCTTTTCTATTTGCCAGTTGTATCTATTTACATAATTCAGACCAAAACAAAACAATTTTCAAACTGTATTTATAAATAAAACAAAACAAACAAAAACAAATATACAAAATATTCTTTGATTTAACAATTTTTTTTTTTAATGTGGCAAACTCAGTTGAACTTATATTTTAATATTAAAATTTGTATATATGGTAACATTTTATTTATAATAAAGCCTATTTAAAAATCTTTACAAATATATATACTCTTTTTCTTTGTTGTTAAAATGTAACAAATTTGATTTAAGTGTTTACTGTAATTATAATTTTAACATCAGTATTTATTCTCAGATGGAATATGTTATATAAAAAAAAAGTAACTAAAACTGCCTGCAAATCTTTTCAAACTAGCAACGTTGCTGGTTCTTGTGATAGCGTCGACTTTACTATTATCCGAACACCAATCGATTTTGTACGTCGCCAGAAACTAGTCAGTAGCCTTAAATATTTTAAAAAATGTAATTTAAATTAGTGAGAGAAGAGTAGAAATATTTGGCAGAACAAAAAGATTGTGTAATTTTATTAAAATTTGATAGTTCAATAATTATGTGAATATTTTTCGTGGCTGGAAGTTTTTGAAATTTACAGTGTTATTGCAATGTATATATATATATATAAACAAAATGTTTTATATTTCTACTAAATTTATTCTATTGAACATTTTCTTTAGATTTTATCATAATGTATGTAAATTGCACGACAACTTAGTTTGATAATCTATTGAAAATGTGATCTTACCGAGAAGAAAATTTCAACAAATTCTATAGTAAAAGGTAGCAAAGTTAAATATAATTATCGAAGGCTTTGCTTTATTAAATAAATTTAATTTTAATTATTTGTATATTATTTTTCATTACTCATTATAAATTGTATTTCGAATTTCTTTTCATTTTGGAATATTAATTTTTCAATTTGATTAAAATTTTTGAAATTGTTTACCTAAAATTGCTTATTAATTAATAAATCTAAAAAGGAATTAATGTTTTAATATATTAAGTACACATTTTATTAAAAAGTAATTTTTTATATTTATTATAAAACACAAATTGTACTGTAAATACTGTACATCACCAATGTACAGTATTTACCAATAGCGAGTTGTGATTAAAGCTCATCTGTAGTCTGTCTATTGAAAGAATCCACTTGCTTTATGTGATTTTTTTTAGTGCTTGTATGCCCTAGCTTTACGATCAAGTGTGATTAGACATTTGTTCCGTGTACGCGTGCTTTTAGACTTCTCTTTAAGTTAAATTGCAATTAATGTGCAAAATATCCCATTAAATAAAATTAAACCATTTCTAAATTATTGTAGTCAATGATTTAGTCTGGTGGTTCCCAAAGTGTCAAGGTGTTGGTAGTAGCCTTAGGTCAATTGAGAAGCGTGAAATGCTTGGTTTCAGAATTTTAAAGGTGTGTGTATGACACTCTTTGCATCACCTTACAATGGTTGTCAGGATATCTGAGTTATTAACGGTCTCAAGTGATTCACTCCATGTCCAGGTACTGATAAAACATGGTTTTCTATGTACTGTACTCAAATCAGGAGCCAGTTGTATTTACTTTAAAATACATAACCGCTTGCTCCTGATTTGAGTATATTGCTATTTCACAATTTTGATTCGATTCTAAAGATAATTGAAAACAGTAGAGCCTCGATTATCTGACCCCCGATTAACCGACCGGCCTAGTCCGCAAATTTGAAATGTTTGCTAGTGATGTGGCGCTACAATATTTGGCTATGTCTTGGCTACTTTAATAGTATTTTTACGTGTTTTAGTGGCAACACTCATTCGACCATGAAAGGGAGCCAGTATTTAAACGTGGCTTAATTTTCTAATTTTTAACGATACAGTAGCGACGATTATTATTTTAAAAACAAATTTGATAGGCTTAACATGAAAATTCAACGCGAAGTAGGTTAATAGCGATATACTAATTACATGGGATATAATAATATACTACACTAATAATGGATTTTTTTCATACTTTTCGGTTATCCGTCTTTTCAATTATCCAACCAACCCCAGTCCCCAATTAGGACGGATAATCGAGGCTCTACTGTATGTCTGAAAGTAAACAATTTTCTTTCAAAAATATAAGCAGATGGTCTATTAATTCTATTTATAAACTCTATTCCTTTATAAAATATTCGTGACTAAAACTAACGAATCCAAAGATGATGTAATATAATAATTACAGCACAAGAATAAAATTAATAAAGAGCCGTTAACCTGCCGGATTACCGCATTACAGAATACAGAACCAATCCCAACGGGTTGAAAAACATTAGAGATGTTTATGGGCTGTCCGCCAGTAGGTGCCGGTCCCAGTCCTACATCAGACCTCCCAATCCACGATGGGCTCGAATAAAAGTCTCTCTTAGTACCCACTAGATGGAAAAAAATCCAGCAACGAGTTGTGTAACTTTCTCGACTATTATGAATTTTTATTTAAAAAAAATAACTTTTATATTACTGTATTAAGAAAAACAAATAAAATTGCGTGTGGCGCCATCTGTTACGAGGTTTTATAAATTTTTATTTTTAATTACTATAAAATGACAAAACGCTTCGTTATTAACATTGTCCTACCCCTTGAAATACACGAAAGTTTTCTATCTCCTCACCTTCTCGATCTTTTACCATTAATTTAAGCGAATTAGCCACAAATACAAGCGTACATACTTAACCATTAATATCAATTAGCCTTTCACTTAAAGTATTAATCGAACGTGTGAATTATCTCACGAGTTTACATTAATATTAGTCGTGTTTTTGAAATCTTGGAAGGTATATTATGTGGTATGACCGATTTACCAGTTCAAACGTCACTCGTACACGGTTTACGTTTAACTCCAAGAAAAAATCGTTGCGGCGCACGTTTACAACATCACGTGACTCGGTGAACGTCGCGCATTGACTCACGGGAAATTTGTTGAAAAAAAAAAAAATGGCGGATACGTTCAACATCGAGTGTTACCGGCGAAGGTAAATAAACTATTTCGAAGTATTTATAGGATGTTTAATAACACTAAATAATTATTTTTAAATTAGCGTGGTGTCTCCTACCGTATCTATAGGACTACCTCGTACCTTTGTCGAGGGAAGTACTGTAGTAACTTATGTAAATTCGAAAGCGGCTCGGAAAATTAATTTTTAGAAAATTTACAAACGAGATGATGCCGTGGAAGAACAAAAACCTACCTTAAGATAAGCTATTATCAAGGAAAATATATGTAAATTCAAGTGGGGTGCCGTGACATTTGACGATAGGGAAGCCGTGTTTCTATAAGAAGCCGACTTCCAGGGGCGATCGGTTAATTCTTTCTTTAAATGTACAGTCGACCCCCCCATAACATTGTTGATAATTCCGCTTTATATGAATTCCATGTTGTACGAGTCACTTAGATTTTACATATACGTCAGCCCTCCACAGCCCGGCACACGTATTTGTAAAATCTAAGTGACTCGTACAACATGGAATTCACAGTGTTATAGAGGGGTCGACTGTATTTTTAATAGATTATTTATCTGACGTACTTAATAAATAAGCGAGTTCAATATAATTATCCCCGTTATTAGATCCAATATATTCCATACGCCATAATCCAATTCTGGCTTTGATAAAAACACATAACATCTATTTATTTACATATAATATATCTGTTAGCCGTAACTATCTCGTTATAATTTTCAATATATATTTTATATTATTTACTAATGTTAAATTCTATTCCGCTTCGATTTCTAAATAGTTTCAAATACGAAACAATCGACGAGTTTTCGTGTCTTTTACCCGCTAAATTGTCAATGCCATTCTTATTCCACACGCTAATTTCATTCGAAAATAATAGGCAAGGCCGACAAAACAATTCGTATGCATGGCTTTATGAAGACAAAATGGCTTTGTGGATGCATTCGTATGCATCCACAAAGCCATTTTGTCTTCATAAAGCCATGCATACGAATTGTTTTGTCGGCCTTGCCTATTATTTTCGAATGAAATTAGCGTGTGGAATAAGAATGGCATTGACAATTTAGCGGGTAAAAGACACGAAAACTCGTCGATTGTTTCGTATTTGAAACTATTTAGAAATCGAAGCGGAATAGAATTTAACATTAGTAAATAATATAAAATATATATTGAAAATTATAACGAGATAGTTACGGCTAACAGATATATTATATGTAAATAAATAGATGTTATGTGTTTTTATCAAAGCCAGAATTGGATTATGGCGTATGGAATATATTGGATCTAATAACGGGGATAATTATATTGAACTCGCTTATTTATTAAGTACGTCAGATAAATAATCTATTAAAAATACAGTCGACCCCTCTATAACACTGTGAATTCCATGTTGTACGAGTCACTTAGATTTTACAAATACGTGTGCCGGGCTGTGGAGGGCTGACGTATATGTAAAATCTAAGTGACTCGTACAACATGGAATTCATATAAAGCGGAATTATCAACAATGTTATGGGGGGTCGACTGTACATTTAAAGAAAGAATTAACCGATCGCCCCTGGAAGTCGGCTTCTTATAGAAACACGGCTTCCCTATCGTCAAATGTCACGGCACCCCACTTGAATTTACATATATTTTCCTTGATAATAGCTTATCTTAAGGTAGGTTTTTGTTCTTCCACGGCATCATCTCGTTTGTAAATTTTCTAAAAATTAATTTTCCGAGCCGCTTTCGAATNTTTTTTTACAAAATACGAGGGAAGCGGCGCATCCACCGCTTCTAATGACGGCACGCCACTGGTAAATTCTATAGGCACTTCGCATCACTTGCTAAAAAATTGAATAATTAAATAATTTCTAGATTAAAATCGTCTGTTTTTTTACAGCATTATTCGTAAATGCTTAAATAATCATTATTCTAATAAAATGGGTCATAATTTTAACCCCGAAACAAAAAAAATGAAAAGTTTAAACCGATCTTCTATTGTCCATGTTAGACGTAGCGACCGCCATTATCGACCATCTAGAATTGCAAGATGTCGACG